CAGGCAAGAGGTCATGAGTCCCATGACCGACGCCACCACTGACACCGGCCGACTCAACTGAAGCCGACTGACTGCCAAGGAGACCTTGACCACCTTCTCCTGAGGAAGGAAAATCCTCTGCTGGTTGGAATCTAAGATAAGTAATCACCTGAGAAGGTTCCAGTTTGGATTTTTGAAGATTCAAAATCCATCCCAACCCCTGAAGCCAACTCCGGGTCACCGCTAAATCCCGGCGGACAGTGCTGACAGGAGGATATAGTCTAGGTAAGGAATGATATTTATCCCTTGTAATCGTAACGGAACCAGGGCCTCCCCCAACACCTTTGAAAAAATTTGAGGCACTGAAGAGAGACCAAATGGCAGAGCCGTGAACTGGAAGTGGTGAACAATCGGACCCATCCTTACAGCTAGTCTCAGGAACTGCTGGAAAGCTGGGTGTATCGGGATATGGAGATAGGCATCTCTCAAATCCAGAGACGACAATTATGCTCCTGGCTGCAGGATATTTTTTATGGAAAAGATTGACTCCATCCTTAACCTCTTGTACTTTATGACCACGTTCAGGGGCTTCAAATTTAGTATCAAACGATACTGGCCAGAGGGTTTTAATACCAAAAAAACGTGAGAGTAAAACCCCCTTTGTTCTTTCAGAGCCGGAACTCTGGAAATGACTCTCTGGTCCACTAGATCCCCCAGCAAGAGTGACAACGCTCTTGCCTTTTCTTCCTGATGCGGGAGGTGCGTGACTAGAAATCTTGTGGGAGGAATACCGCTGAACTCCAGCTTGTAACCCTCCCTGATCAGGCCTAGTATGAACTGGTTGGAGGTTATCTTCGACCACTGAGGGAAGAATTCCTCCAATCTTCCTCCCACTGGAAGAAGACAGTCATTGGGGCTTTGGCTGAGGCTTGGAGGGTGTGTTAAACAGAATCACCCCTCTTCCTCTACCTTTCTGTCCCATCCAATGCTTCTTGGGTTTGACCCCTTTATTTTCCTGAGGCCTACCCTTCTAGTTCCAAAAAAATTTCCGAAAAGGATTTTTCTTCTTTTTAGGAAAAGCCTTTTTCTTGTCAGCCGCTCTCTCTAGCATATTCTCTAACTCTGCCCCAAAAAGCAAGTCACCTGAAAAGTGGAGATTACATAACCTCAGCTTTGAGGCGGCATCTCCCTCCCATGCTTTTAACCACAGGGCCCTGCGGGAAGAGTTAATAAGAGCCGAGGATCTGCCAGTCATCCGTACAGATTCTGCTGAGGCGTCTGCGATATAACCTACCGCCTTAAAGAGCACAGGCAGTGACTCCAAGAGCTGTGCCCTCGGGGTACCTGCCAGCAGATGCGTCCTAAATTGCCAGAGCCAGAACTCCAAGTTTCTTGGCCACACATGTGGTAGCCAAAGCAGGTTTAAGGTTCATTGAAGAAGAGTCCCATGCTCTTTTTAAAAGAACCTCAATGTTCTTATCCATGGTATCCCTCAAAACCCTCATGTCCTCGGAGGCTAAGTCAGATTTCTTGGATACCTTAGCTAACGGAACATCCAGCTTTGGAGATTTATTCCACACCAAGGCTGGATCCTAATCAAAAGGAAACCTCCGCTTGAGATTTCCTGACTTCAGAGGCTTTCTCTCAGACTCAGCCCACTCCTTGAGAATAGTCTCTGACAAAACTTTATGTACTAGGAAGCATTTAGACTTTTTAAGCTGCAAACCCTGATACATAACGTCGTGCCTGGATAACTGCACCTGCTCTTCCTGGATCTCTAACGTGCTATAGATTGCAGTCAGTAATTCATCCACATCCTCTAAGGATAATTTATACCTGGAAGAGCTAGGTACATCGTCTATGACACTCCCTTCTTCTGATGACGAACCACCATGAGAAGGACCAGGCTCGCTAAGATCCTCCTGCTCAGATAGCCGTAAGGATCCTGTCGGCACACCCTGAGTAGAAAAGACAGAAGCAGAAAAAGGCACAGGGGTAGAAGCAACTGTGGGAACTGGAGCCCGGAACCCCTCTAAAATAGACTGAAAGGAATGAAATGTAGCAGATAACTCCTCCTTAACTGAAGCTAACAGGTTGCTACTGGCTGCAGAAGACTCCTCCCTAAGAAGACCCTCAATGCACTTCTGACATAGGGCCTTAACATAACCGGAGCTCAACTTCACCGCACAAACTGCACACTTTTTCTTTGGGGCCACCTTCGTTTTTTCTTTAGCCTGAAAGAAACCAAGGAGCCATTTAACCACTGTCTGTCACTCAAAAAAAGGGTTAGAGTGCCCCTCAACACCACAGCATCCAACACCAAAGGACTCCAGGTGGAGGAAATAAATTTCAGAGGTAACAGGGAGGTAAGATAGTACACATCTTCCATACCTGAGCCGTGCTGTTGCTTGGAAGACCGGAATCCGCAGTCACTGCAAGCTGCAAAGGTAACCCAGGATCCATGTCAGCAGAGTCTCAAAAAAAGAAGCCCACCAGCGCAGTGGCGTCACAAGGGGGGTGCGGCCCGCACCCGGGTGCCACCATTGGAAGGGTGACACCAAAATGACTCACAGTCATTTTGGTGTCACCCCCCTCTGAAAAGTCAGGCGCTCGGTCATGGACCGAACGCCCGACAGTATCAGGAGAGAGGAGGGGACCCGGCAGCATACCTTATCCCACCGGGTGACTGTCCCCTCCTCTCTCTGCCGGCGTCCATCAACAAGATGGCCGCCGGCATGTATCAGAATACTGCCGCACGTGTGCGATGACGTCATCGTGCACGCGCGTGGTGACGTCACACGCATGCGCAGTGACGTCTCGGCGGGGTGACACTCGGTTACCGCTCCGGGTGTCATACAGCCTCGAGACGCCCCTGCGCTAGCGTCACTCTCAGTCACTACTGAGATCCACGCTGAATTTAGCACCGCCTGAGCCCTCCCCTTCCTCCTGCGCCGAAAACGAGGCTTGGAACGCACAGGCTTGGCGCCCGGAAATGGCGTGACCTGCACCGGAAGTGACGTACGCGGCCACCGGTCTGGTCGTGGAACACTTTCCCGGGGACCTGAGAACCTGAGGACAGTGCCCACTGGGCACTGAAGGGGGAAAGGAAGCCAGCCTCATCTCCTGACAGCACTAGGAGAGTCCCTGGGGCTCACAACAGGTAGGCAATCCTACACCATCTGCCCTACATAGGCAGCCATTAACAAAAGGAGACTTCCCGGGCAGCATCACCACATGGAAGCCCCTCTCAGCGTTCTGTGACGCGCTCCCCTGCTTGATTGAGGAAACACAAAAGACTGAGGGAGTGGAAGAGAGGAGGGTCTTTTAAGGAGTTTAAGTGGCGTGTTTCCTGTGTGTGGGGGAGGAGATTCCATCTCGTGATGCTGTCCTGGAAGATGTTATGGGAAAGATATTTAGATGGAGGAAAACAGAAGATAGAAAACAACTCAAATATTTCTGTAGCAACACACAGAGCGAATATCCTTCTATTAAAGAGACAAACTGAAAATGGGTACGAACTTTACTGTCTAAACAGGAACTTTTGTCGGGGCACCTTTGGTGATAAGCGGAACAACTACCAATCATTGGAAGGCTGTGATTTGGATAGTCAAGGGGCTCAATAATATTCTTTCAATAATAACAAAGTTATATGTTGGGGCTGTCATAAACTGCCATGATTTTTTTTTTAGGTTTTTTGAGTATAGGTTTGCTTTAAAGTAGTATTAAACCCTCCAACTCTTTTTCAATAAAAATTCAGATACATCACAACACTTACATTCATCATGTTTCCAAACAGTTGGCTCCAACTCTCATAGCTCAGCTTCCCTGAACTTCCTGTCCAATACAAGATCACAAGGGACAGAGCAGTGTCCGGTAGCTGTCCAACTACTAGCTTGGAGAAGGTAGGAGCAGAGGGTTGGTTTGTGGAGACACACAGAGCTTACTGGCATACACAAGCCGCCCTGAAGCAGGATATCAGGTCCAGAGCTCGGGACCAGGTGATTCTTCAGGAAACTTAAACTTTTAAACATCATTCGTGGTAAGTAATCAACATATGAAATAGCGTAAAAAACTTTTGACTTTAATATCACTTTAAGTGTATGCATTGTAATCAAAGAACTCCCCTGAATCTGATTTTTTCATCAGAATGATGGCACACCCTAGTTCAAGCATCATCTAGTATAAACCTTTAGCTCCTAAAGGCGCACACAGTTTACCAGCACACACAAGGGTGGCTCCATAGGACCCTGTAACGGAAAGGAGCCACCCTAACACAACTTCATGGACCAGCTGATTCTTCTAGGAACGGAAACTTTTAAACATTAATTTCAAATGAAATATTGCAAGAAAATAGCAATAATGTGCACCAAAGCAATCATTCAGAACTGATCAGTTGGTTTTTTTTTATATTCCAACAAATTAAACATGCTTTCAGATTGGTTGCTCTCTAATAGCTATTATGTTGCTTTTTTAAATGAATGCCAGTGATTAAATTTGTACTGTATGATCTGCGATTATGTTTTCTGCAAATAGACTGAAATTCTCAAGGCCTGTATGAGAGTCAACTGAATTAGCGAACTGTAAGACTTGCTATCTCCATAGAAACACAGTATCCATATGCTATTGTCAATGAGTATTTACAATTACAGAAACAACTAGTCTGTCATTATTTCAACTTTTGAATCGCAGAGATTTTCTGTGTAATGGCCTCAGGAATTTTAATAATATGTAAAAATGCCTACAATACTGGAGGAAAGTTTTTCACTTTTTTTTTTTAAATCAGGAAGAAATTTTAAGAAATTTAATTACAGGAGAACTGTGGGGTACACCTTTTTTTTGCATTTTTAATTTACCGATGATACAGGAGTACATTTTGCAATGTACTTCTGTAATAAAAAATGCACCATAAGCTTAAAATTCAATGTAATATACTGTGGGCAGGGCTAAGCTCTGTGCTGAGAAGCGATATTAACAATATCCCCTCCTATTGAGTGACAGCAGCTTAAATGAGCTGCTGCGCGTTCATGAGAACCTCTGCATGCACAGCAGCTCAGTGCACATCCTATCAGTTTATTCATGTCAGGTCACAGGTCTACAAACACTTGCACATCCATCCCGCAGTTTGTCCTTTGTCCACTTTCTCTCCTCCACACTGCTGTCTTCAGACAATAGACATACTACATCGGCACTAAGACCGTCAGTTCAGTTTCGTCCTCGCCATCCTCCCCTCTTCTGTCTTGGGACATACACAGAGAGAAGAAGAGATAAAGACAGCAGTGTAGAGGAGAGGAAGGAGAGGACAGAGCTGAATTTAGTGTCGATGTGTTATATGTATTGTCTGGAGACAGCAGTGTGGAGAGAAGAGTGGAACAAAAGACAAACTTCAGGATGGATTTGCAAGTGTTAACTGTGATAGGATGTGCCCTGAGCTGCTGTGCCTGCACAGATTTTCATGAATGTGCACAGTTCCTACAAGCTCCTGTCACTCAATAGGAGGGGATAATGTCGGGATCGCTTTTCAGCACAGAGCTTAGCCACGCCCACAGTATATTACACTGAATTGTAAGCTTTTGGTGCATTTTTGAGTAGAGGAGTACATTGCAAAATGTACTCCTGTATCATAAAAATATCCAAAAAGTGTACCCCATAGTTTTACTGAATTTACCAATCAACAGATACATTTACATGGATTGGCCCTTCTGATCATTGAGAATGGATAACACTGGGAACCTTACCACGTTATAAAGCTTTGAAAGAGGGACCAAATCTAACAAACAGTGTCTATCATAATGCTCTTTATCTGTCATTTAACTTTAGCTTTGGGCATGTAAATTCCATATGTTGGCAGGGATATTATCTGCAGAGTGACAACAGATTCTACCCATGTCAGTAAGAGAAACTAATGCTAGTCTAGGTCACTGTCCCAATAAGAAATGTTAATTTAACCCATGCCCGAAGTGGTAGCTGGGTCATGCAGTATTGAAGCATTGTGATCATGGCCACAGTCCAAGCATCCTAGGCAGAGGAGTATCTACAGAAAATTGCACCTATGGCAAGCACTGAAACTGCGCCTCTTTCCAAAATCTGATACCTGTATTTTAGATAGTATCAGCTGAAAAATGCAAATCATACTCATTAAGTTTTGATCAACAAATTATGGCAGTACTGCACCTTTCTTGCTTTCAGTGATGCAAATTGGTTTATGATATGAATTCAATATTTTCAATTTCTTCTCTTTCTACATTCAGCAGAGCAAGATCACAGAGTCTGTCTTGACCCATTTTAATCAGAGCTCCCCCTTACATCAGAGTCCCCTCTTGCATCAGAGCTCCCCCTTACATCAGAGTCCCCAGAGCTCCCCCTTTCATCAGAGCCCCAAGATCACCCCTTCCCCCTTATATCATAGTCCCCTCTTGCATCAGAGCCCCTAGATCCCCCCTTACATCAGTGTCCCCCCTTGCATCAGAGTCTCCCCTTACATCACAGTTCCTCCTTACCTCAAAACCCCTCAGAGTTAGCGACCACACAGCTGGCACATCTGTCACCTGCTAGGGAGGAACTGCTAGGGAGGAAGACTGCAGGTTCGTGGATTAAGGTTAGTATTAGGGTCCATTCACACCATAGCATAATGTTAATCACACGATACTGTGCATTGAACGCACGCTATAACACAATGCACCTAGCACGCGCTAATGTGTGCTAGGTAGTTTCCGTTGTCATTTATATGAATGTAATGCAACACGTGGTACCGCAATACCATGTGTTGGGATGCTTTGGAAAAATGTAGTGATTTAATACAACACTATGGTGTGAATGTGTTATATCAACATAGCAAAAAATTAACAATATATTTTTTAGGTTTTAAGGAAAGGGGGGCAAATGTATTTTTTTTTTTAGCAATGCCTTCCCCCCCAGGTGACCTTCAATCTCCTGAAAAATCCAAAGGGGATCCCACACTCTGGCCAGTGTCCCGTCCGGCTCCTGGCATCCAGTGATGTCACTTGTTCGATGGAGCCATTCGGGAAGCTGGCCAGAGCATCCTGGGTTGCTAAGAGCTGGGCGAGGAGGTGTGCATGGCGCATACGCATCTCCCTGCCTGGCTGTTAGCAACCAGAAATGCTCTGGTTGGTGTCCCGTCTGGGACACCGGCCAGGGCGTCTCCAGTTGCTAAGAGCAAGACGGAGAAATTAGTATGGGCCATCTTCCCAGGGAGATGTGTATAAACCCTCTCCCATACACATCTCCCTGCCTGGCAGTTAACAAATGGGAATGCTCTGACCAGCATCGGGACACCGGCCAGATCATCCTGGATGCTGAGAGGCGGGTGGGCAGATGTGCATGAAAGAGGGGTGGAGAGAGGAAAAAAAGGAAGAAAAAAAAGAAAAACTGCCTGAGTGGAAGGAAAAGGTAAGAAAAAATAGAAAAGACAAGAACTGAGATGCATTCTAAAGTAAAGGTCTTTAATGGCTGTCACTGTAACAGGTGTACCCACTGGAAGATTTCCTCTCCCCTTTATAGTTACAACTATAAAGTATTGGGTTATCCATCACTTTCTCTCCTGGTGACCAGACGGGATGAATCTACACAAAAGGGACACAGATTGCAATAAAAACCTACTATTAAAAACAAACAAAAAAAAAACAGAAACCATTATGTATCACAAGATAAAGGCTACTAGCATGTTTAAAATATGCTGGTCCAATAGGGCTTTACATACAGTGAAATGTAAATATGGTACAACAAAACATAGGTGTTCTTTTCTAATCTGGAAGGGCAAAACTATATAAAGGAAAATAAAGACTTAATTTGATGGTTCTTACCCTAACAAATGGATTTCAGGGTTCTAACATATCACCTTTATCAGGGCTATAAAATGATAAGGATAACTACTGGTATAGAGTGCATGTTGCCAACATGAGATGTGTGCTAAAGTTTGCAATGGTTGACTGCTACTGATTTAGAAGAAAGGCCATACACCCTTAAATAAACACAAGGGGGGGAGTTTATCAAAACTGGAGCAGACAAATTCTGGAGCAGCTGTGCATGGCAACCAATCAGCTTCTCTCTTTGTTGCTTCTCACTTCTTGCTTCTTTGTTCAGTTAAGATTTGATAATGAAATAGAGAAGCTGATTGGTTGCTGTTTGGCCTTCTGCACTTGTTTGTTTAAAGATGTATTTCTTTAGCATGTAACTTACAATGTCACTGTCCTCTAGAGATTCAACTTATCATTATACAGCGTTGAATAGAGGTGCACTGAAATGGAAATGTTAAAAACGAAACCGAAATTAAAAAAAAATGTCAGGCCGAAAACGATACCGAAAATGTTTTTTATTTTTTCACGTTTTTTTAATATTTTATTTTTATTCATTTTTTATAAACGTTTTAATTTTTTATAAATATTTGTATTTTTTACCTTACTTTTAGGGACTTTGGGAAATATTAGGGGTCTAAACAGACCCCTGATATTTCCCTTTTAAAATTGAAAAAGAGATTGAGAACACAGAGTCCTCAATCTCTTTTTCTGCGTCCCCTGTTGTCAATGAACAGGAATCCTCTATGAGTGTTCCTGTTCATTGATAACATGAGAACATTGTATGTTTATTATAACTACAATTATGAATGAACAGGGGTGGATATAGATCACTCCCATTCATTCCTAGTTGAGGATATAGTTAACATACCATATCCTCAATTATGTACAAACACTCAGTGATCACTGATCGCTGAGTGTGTGTACCTTGCTCTTCTCTCTGACACGCTGTCACAGGAGGCTGATCGAGCGATGTAGAGAGGAAAGCCCAGCCTCCTGTGACAGCGTTGTCTCCGCCCACACACCGCTCTGCCGGACTGTGATAGGCGGCAAAGTGGTGTGGGAGGAGACGTTGGCTGCTCACAGCGCTCTCCACCGCAGAGCTCGGCAGGCTTTCACTTTCTCTTCTTCCCGCTGGGACATAGAGCAGCGCCCAGCGGGCAGAAGAGAAAGAACAGATGCGCCGATGAATCGGCAGAAAAATGGCACTTTCGGCATTATGCCAAAAGTGCAATTTTCGGCCGATATGTTTCGGCGGCCGATATATTGGTGCATCCCTAGTTGTAACATATTTGTGTTAACAACTGACTGGGGTTCCTTCCCTACACTATCCAAAACTAAAACAAAAGTCTGGGTTAGAGATACACTTTAACCGAAACATATCTTGACAATTATAACAATTTTGCTGCTCACACTTTAACATATTGGTAAACAAGAAACAAGTTTTTGTGCTTCTGGCCACAAAACACAGACAATATGTGCAGCACTTCCTTGCTCCAGGGCAGATGAGGAGCACCCCCAGGTAGCTCGATGGGCCAGCATTTCAAACCTCAGGACAGAACCCTTGATGTTTGTTGGGAAAAAAGGAATTAAGCACCAGCCACTTTTGAAAACTTCACATAATTGTATTTAGCATCATACTCTCAGGAATAGGACACAGGATACCCAAAAAAGCAACATACTTCAGACAGTCAATAAAGGGCCTTTAGGTTGAAACCAGCATTCTGTATTTTCTGTACTCAGTACAGACTGTATAGCAGTTGCAGCATGCCTTTAGTAGATGCAGCAAGTGTCTTCCTGGCAGCAGCCTATACCCTGCTCACTAAACACTCTCAGCAGCAAAGCATCCATCTCTGATGCTCCAATCCTGGCAACTCACACTTCCAGGCCTTGAACCCAGGTCTTTCTGCCATCAGGTCCTCCCCAGGCAGCGGCCTAGAAGGCACAGCCCTCTGACACAGTGTCTCCTCTCCTTGCAACAGCCCAGGAGGCAAGAGATTTTCAGAAGGCCATCACAAATATTTATATCCTCCCGCAGCATGCACCACTGGCAATAAGCCTCCTAGTTGGCCAGGGAGATATAAATATTCATAACTCAATCTATTGTATGTTCTTGCCCTATTGCCAGGAACATTGCCCAACAGCATTCAGTCAACTCTGCCACTGCAAACTGCACCACTGCTCACCATGCCCCTTCTCCCTCTTGTCACCCTTGCACGGACATGCATAGAGAAGAAGAGAAGCCTGGAGTTTCTGGGCTCTCTACTCTATCCCTTCACGCCTCTGGTGACATGACCTCCTTCCCAGTGCAGCCTGCAGAGGCCAGTCAGTCCTCTTGGGGCGCTGAGCATATTGTGTGTGTTCCCAAGGAAAAGGGGAAATATGTGCACACTTCTGAGCGGAGAAATAGAGGGAAGTGAATAGAGGTAAGTGTTTAACCACTATTCATTACCCCTCCAAGCTAA